GACATTAAATAATGTCAACAAATATGAGCGAGATGGTTCTAAATACGACAAACATCGCATCTATCGAAGATTCACCTTACAACCTAGTGTACAAACAGCCAGTGATCATTGGAATTCTTCAAACATGTCAAATATTATCTGTTATAGCTTACGTGGTCGTTAGTTATTATTTTATCTCTTCGCCAAAAGAATGGATCAAATCGCTTCATCATCATGGAATTTTCATTATATTTGCATTAAATTTCATTGATATAATTTCTGACTTCTCTATGCTAGTTCAGACATTGCGCACTAATGTTGTTAGTCCATCGGTGGGTGCAGTCTGTCTCCTTTGGGTTTTTATCAGTGCATCTACATACTATGGGACTCTACTTCTTCTGGCTTGGGTATCGATTGAACGGCATTTGATCATTTTTCATTCCCGATTATTCAATACAAAACGAGCCAGAATTTGTTTTCACTATATTCCGATAGGTTGCATCTATTTATATTCATTATGTTACTATATTTATGTAATCTTTTTCTATCCTTGTGAAAATACATTTGACTTTTCAGTGACCTTTTGTGGCTATGCTTGCTATATGAATATACCTAACGGTTTATACGGTATTGAAATGCTCGCCCATCAAGTTGTTCCAACGATTATCATCGCTGTCTTCAATGTTGCGCTATTAATACGGATTATAGTTCATCGACGTCGACTGCAACAAGCGACCGATTGGCAAAAGTATCGAAGCATGATCATACAATTGCTGTCCATTGTTGCTGTGTGTCTTATCTTTACTACACCATATTCACTGAATCCTATTGCACAGACACTAGGATTGCCGACGCCATTTTCATTGTTTTTGAATGCGACGGTTTTTACTTTCTGGGCATATGGGATGCCCCTAATATTGCCTTTCGTGATTTGGTTCACATACCCGAACGTAATGAAAAAGCTGAAATCGCTTTTTACCGTTCGCAGATCAATACACATTGGACCAATTAATTAAATGCTTCACAAAGCCTAAATGAATTTGACATTTACAAAAAATATAAACAAATAAACTCGTATTTGACTATGATGTATATGCATGTTGTATTATTTAAAAATTAATATATATCTTCACACGATTATTATATCTTGAGGGTGTAAACAAAACCTAGAAGTCGCTAGTAGTGTCTATAGACTATTTGCCATGCTAAAATCATGTTGTACTGAACTCAGTTTTACAGCAAATCGATATGGATTCGATTAAGCTGATCTGTCAGTAGACTAAGTTAAAAACTTCCAGAGCATCTATTCAATATTAAAACTTAAAACATAATGGAGTCGTTTTATTAGTAGATGACGGCTTGATCGTGATCCGTAATCAGATCCAAGGCATCCTTGAAAGTCAACCAAACATGTGAGTCAAAGAAATATGGATCAGACTTCCAACTAGTAGGGTTTTCTCTTACGGGTACCAGTCAAAAGCAGGTTGTGCTGGTCGGTTGACTGATATTAGTTATTGTTTACTTTTCTCATCCTTACAAAGTCACATCAAGCCTCTGATTAATCATATCTACATCTGAATTACTATGGTAATGATGTAAGGCTCCTGCTACACTACTGTAGCTCTCTTCAGTATTTATTTCCATGAGCTTTCTTTCTCTTAATATTTGTGGATGCACAGAAAAGTTCATAAGGCTTATTGATAAAGGACCTCTGGGAAAAGAGGAAGGAAGAAGTCCATATAAACTGAAAGAATTTGAACAATAGAATGGTGAGAAATACTGACGAATGTCCGAACGCTTCTTGCCAGTTTTTTTCCTTTTTTCCACGAGTTTTCGAAAAATTTTGAGGTAAAGTGAGTCTTAACAGTATTTTTAGAAAATTTTCTTATAAAAATTCTATGGTATCTCATTGATACATGAATGACATATGTAAATAAAAAAATGCGTATTTGATTATTTTTTTGTGATATGCGCTCACATTGACAAACATCATACTCACATCTCATGAGATATTTTGAAAACAGCTGTCGAATAGGACAGAATCTCGAACAATTTGATGGCTCGCTCTTTACTGCATTCGAACTGTCTCAAAGTGTTCAAATCTAGTGTAAAACATTTGTCAAAATTGGATAGGATCCACTCAAAATTACGAGGATTCAATAGTATCTAGCATAGATGCGTTTGATCTGAATACATATTTCATTTGTTCTTCTCATATAGAGTGTGGGCGTGAGCGCAGGGAAGAACAACATCTACACATACACCCACCCTCATGTTAGAAGAAAACATAAACGTATTTATTTACCATTTGCTATTGTTGGAGTTGCTGAATAAGTTTTAAAGCAACGATAGTTCTTGCTCGCACTAACCTAAAAGTTCAACTTAAATTGGAAACATCGTTGGATTTGCAAGAACGCAACATTTGTAGAATAATATGTATGCCGATAGGTATCACCTATCTTTCTAAGGATCAACATCATGGCAAAAGTTCAAAAAGGCTTCTATTTGGGTCTTGAAGTGGTAGTTCGTAAACGAGACGACGACTACCCACTTCAGTGTGATATTGAAGGGAATACACAGTCGCCTCATTTTCTTAAACTTTTCTGGTGACGTGAGTACCAATATATTACGATTTTTGATTAATTTCTTCAGTCTTTGTTGGAGAATAGCGAGGGTGTGGGTATGGTATGGGTGTCGACTTAGGTGAGTGAATAGGTATCACCCACACCCTCCAATTGATCTGTATTGATACTAACGTCGTAATCATATTGAGAAAGATATATCTATAAATTTAAGAAAAAAAAGTTTTCCTCAGAAATAAATAATATTGATGAAAATTCATTAGCTTCAACTAATTATAAGTATAGAAGGAACTGCTATCACTAGAGATTTTTAGAGTCAGGTTTTTTTTATTCCGAAACTCGACTTTGACTTCGGTTCCAATTCCGACAGATTCCGAAATTTTTTTTCTTGGAAGTAGACGACCTCTAATGTGTTTTATTATTTAATTTTGGACATGTATAAATCGATAAACAAACAAAGGAATGAAAGAAAGTCAAAGAATCATTAAAAGATTATTTTTGAATTTCTTTTTCATTTGCTACGCAGTGGAAATGAAAAACGATAACTAGGAAGTACTCGGCATGTACTATGCTTAAGCAATAGAGTCCTGTATGGAGTCGATTTCTCAGTCAACTAAATTTTATGCTAAAAATTTTGTTTTAACATAGAAAACTTTTTGAATTTTAGGTTTTGTTCTCTGATATTTATTGTATAAACTGATGTATTTTGGAGATTTCATCGATGAGTTATCAAAACCTATGGATATGAAAGAAAATCGGAGTCAAATTCAACCGCAATTTTCTTTCATATCCATAGGTTTTGATAACTCATCGATGAAATCTCCAAAATACATCAGTTTATACAGTAAATATCTGAGAACAAAATCTACAATTCAGAAAATTTCCTGTGCTAAAGTGGAATTTTTAGCATAAAATTCAGTCGATTCCGTACAGATTTCTACCAAGCAATCGATAATTGGTGACAACAAGAATTATTGTACTTTGGATAATACTGAAATATTTTTTGATTAATGGTATTATGTTTTTATGAGGTTGATCTTTCAAATGTTATAGCCAAAAGGTGACCCTTTTTTTTTTCTTCTGAAATTCATTCTTAATATATGTAGTGAGTACTGTCTTTCGCTTTTTTTATTTGTTAATATGAAAAATAGAGTTATTATAGTATCAAATAGCAAAAGTTTATTAGAGGTGGCTATAATTTGACTCCAAAACATTTTTTCAGTAAACCCGACTCCGTCGGAGTTGGAATCGGATTTCGGAGTTCCCTGCAGATCTCTAACTATCACCGTCAGGTTCACTCTTAATTAATTCAATAGATAGATCTGTCAAATTATTTAACGACAGACAAATTTCTCTTTGAAAAGATGTTCAATAGGATTGAATTTATTGTTAACAATAGGTAACAACTCTAACTGACAATATACAACAAAATAATACTTCGCAATATGTTAATATTGATAAACGAAATATTCTAAGAAAATCATTGAAGTGTGCAACTTTATCAGTAGAAATGATAATTAATGAAATAAGATTGAATAAAAAAGTTATATCACTAACAACATTTTCAAGAATAAATCTTTCAATTTAATTAAATTTTGATGTCATGTGCAGCGATAAGAAAACAATATCGATCATAATTGGATTGAATAAACCTAAGAATTTAATATGATATATTTAAAATATTATAATATCTCTATTGTTCGTCAAAACATTTGAATATTCATTAATTGATTCATCTCGATCGTTTGTATTTTTGAAATTTTTCATAATGAAACATAAGAGAAAAGAAAACAGAATGAAAAATGAATGTATTTATATAATGAGTTACAAAATGATGGTACATAATAATTGCAAGGAAAATATTTTTTTTTTTTTGATAGAAAATATAATCTTAAATTTCCAAACAACACACTTCTTAATTGAAAAACAAAGGTCGCACTAAAATTGTACTCAACAACATGAGTTATAATTATTTGGACTCTATTGATTAGAAATAATTAAAGTTAATTAACGCTTATCCAGAATAAAAATATAAAGAGAAAGGATTCATGTTTGAATAGCTTTATTTGATATAGTTTCATTATTTATCTTGTATTCCATTTAATATTCGCTTTGCTAAAGTAAAGTGAAATAGATATAGGCACTAATTCCTTTGTTTCACAGTATCTGAAAATAAGGATGAATAGATTTTCTTCATTATATAATAACTTGTAACAACACTACATGAAGTTTAGATTCATGTTCATTTGAATGTTGATGAGCAATTCTATTCTTTCTGTTAAGATTATATTGAGTTTGTGTACTATGTCATTTGAATAATCATTAGTGCAATATTCAATAATACAAATTATTATATGTAAATATGACTGCTAGTTTTATTTTACATCATAATACAGAGCAAAATTAAAAAAAAATTATTAAAACAAGAAAATATGAAGTTCAACTTTGTGTATTTACATGACCAGATGCAAGAATCTTGAACTGCTCCTCTAACAGATGATTGACCTGTCGAAGTTGAGTAAGCGTTACTTCGGCTTGCCTCATTTGTTCGTTGAGTAATTCTTGTGTATGTCTCATCTCAGTCTCTTTCTCAGCAATGTTTGCTTGCAATTCAGTTTCATTATCAACATCATTGTTGTCGTTGTCATCGTGGAATGGTGGAGGTGAACGTGAAGGAGAACGAGTTGGTTCCTAAAAGATAATGGCAATACATGTAAAATCATCAGACAAATGCTATTCACAAAGTTTTCATACCCGATCGAAGCGCATAATAATGTGATATAATAATTTATGATACGAGTGCTACAATACTGGAGTATTTATTCTTCCAGGATAAAAATTATTATCTCTTTTTTTTTCCTCTAACACATGACAGTCATATGCATAAATTGTTCTGGGAGGGTTAAGGACAAAAGTCACGAGAATGGGAAATATACAGAAAGAAAGAGAATTGACGAGCAATATTTTCTTGGTGATATTTTTTTCCAGTTATGTATAAACATATGAGAGAATAATCCAGTCAATGATGAATCATCGAAACTCGTAATAACATACTCAAAGAGAACAGAGTCCATTGTTAGATACAATCCTACGCACTAGAAACTTGATAAAGATCTGTTTTTTAAATAATAGACCGTGATATGATTTATTGATTTAACAAAAGATAAATGATAAAGAACAAATTTTTGTATCGAACGATCTTGTTCACGAGAAAAGAATTTTTAGAAATGTCAAAAAATTTGTCAGATAATCTCTAATAAACGAAAGTCAATTTCTGAACTTTTGGCTCAATTTAAAAATATTTAGATTAGTCAAAAAAATCTATTGATAACAAAGACACAATGACCATTGTCACATGTCAAAACTCTCATTATTAACCAATTGAAAACGAACTGACCTTTGACAGTGCCCTCGCCGGTGCGATGCATTTCCGTATTTTGGTAATTACCGATTATGTCTGTACATCGAGTTATATTAATGAAGAAGAACTGTAAAGTAACTGCATGTGGTCAATTCGATTATCTACATACAGTGTAACAATCGATTAGTGTTCTGCTGAATGAATCAATCAAATATTTTGTTTGTGACGTTGATTTTTGTCTTTTAATTACAGAGAATGGCGAAAACCTTTCGTCAAGCTTATTTTTTGTAAAAAAAATTATTACAATCTTTAAGGATGAATAAAATACTTGAAGTCTTTTTTTTGCATTTCCTCTCTACAACACACTCCTCGTCTTAGCATCTGGATCTGTTGCATTTTCTATTTTATTTAATTCATCTTTTTCTTCTTTCAATCTTCACAAATTATATCTATTCTTTCGGCAAAAACGAAATCAATCGATTAGGTTCTAATACTTATTCACATCGTATAATCAACGACAAGTATTTCCAGATTAATCATTCGGACAGATTTTGGATTGATATGTCATTGTAAAACTAATTGATACCAAGAATTTTGATCATTTTCATGTGTTTTTGTTATATGGACGTGCATAACGTAGATGAGTAGAATATTCGATACTTGGTAAAACATATACTCTTGGTCTTTTATACTCGTAGAAACCTTCTGTTGTACTAACACGAAGACTCGAACTAAGTATCAATGCTAAATATTCATCTTGCGTATTGTAATAGGCCAGCAGTGTTCAGACTTCCGAAAAAGGAAATTTCGGAAATTTTAAACACTTGTGTTCTAAATTGTATGGTAGTTTCCAAAACTATGTAATTTCTGAAATTTCCGAAATTCTGTATCTAGCGAAATTTCTGAAATTACAGAAATTTCTGAAATTTCCAATATTTCCAAAAACTTTCCATTTGCTTTGTTATGTAGTTATCGAGTTGATGGAAGCTTCGGAAATTTCTGTAATTTCCTTTTTCGGAAATCTGAACATACCTCTTTTGAGCATGGTCAATGGATATCTGAGTAGATCTTCTGCTTGAATTTCTCGACAATTGTTTTCATCGGTTGATTGAGGTTTGTGAACAAACTTGCAAATGATGTCATACTTTTGCAGTTACTTTAGTGTCGAAGACTTCTGCTTCTCGACAGTCGTTGCCACACGCTACATTGCTTGACTCCTAAGTCATAAGTTTTCAAAATTTTTCTCATCAATAGCTTGTTGTTGTTTTGGCGCAACGTTGTTCGATAAGAGTTGACGATGCTTTTTCTTTTTCTATCTTACGACGCTGGACAGTTTTTTCTTCGTGAACCAATTTCGAGAACATCATGTCAAAGATAGTTTATTTTTCTTATTCAGAATGTAATTTCTGTGGATCCATTGATATTAACCATGAGCAGTTCTTGTTTATTTTATCCGAGACTGTAGTCAAAATTTATGAAATAGAAAATAATGGTTTCGGAATTGGTCAAAAAATTCGTAAGATTCGAAAAGAGTGTTCAGATCTGAACACAATTGGCATACAGGATGTGGCTTAGCATGGGTATGTGAGTATGAATGTAGAGGAAAAAACGAATAGGGCAATACGGGATGTGGATGAAAAAGGGAAGACCAGCGTCGAAAAACCGACCCACATCAACACCATCTCATAACTCTTTATATTTTAGTACTGATAAAGTATTAAAGTTAAAACCTTTTATTTAAAAAAAAATAGGAGAAAATTCTAGGAAGAAAAATCAAAATATATGTTTAGATAAATATTCGAATGTAAAGTTTATAAAATAGTGATTAACTAAAATAATATAGTTTCTCTCTTTAATAATAAACCATAAGGACGAATTGCTTGTGGATCAGTTATTTGCCATAATTGACCAAGATCATTTGGACCATTATAAATAGTGAATGAGTTAGGTCTAACACGACATTGAAAAACAAGTTTAAATGTTTCATTATTATCTCCATTTAAGATCGTAAATGGTGTTGTATACGCATCAGCACCATCATTACAATGTGTTATTACATAAATAGCTGATCCAGAATCTACCTTTGTTATTCGATGAATATCTTCATTGTTCATAGAATCTGTCTTTATAGAATTGAATAGAGGAGTTGATTGAGTAATATTGGTTAACGTTGGTGAATGTGTACCATGAAAAGCAATAGGCCATTCATCATTGATATTACGAGTGGTAAGCCAAAATAAATTATCAGAATATTTATTATTAAGATTTATTGCATGACGAAACCAACCAATTGGAAGATAATATGGATAATTTCCACATTGAACTTGTTTAGATAAATCTGTTTGTGTATAATCATAATTAGAATTAATATCAAAATCTTTTGAACTTAATTGAAGATAAGATAGAATAGGTATTAATTCATATTGATAACGATCTGATTGAATAGAACGAAGTATTTTATCATTTCGAAAATCAGTTCGACGAACAAGATTCTAAAATATAGATGAAAAAAAAAAAAACAAAATTTAAAGATATAAATTTATGAATAATTTTATAGTTAACTTGAAAATGTCGTGCAAGAGATTCTGTTTGATTTTTATCAGGTGTTGTAAGACCAAAATTAACTTGTATCATTCCATGTTTATTATCAATTTTTTCAATAGAAAATATTCTAATAAAATCATTTTTACAATGAAGTACATTAGCTATAGATTTATTTAAATCAAGAATAAAATTTTTCATTATTGAACTAGATCGTGTAAGTTCTCGATCATAATTAAGATTTATTTTAATTGAAAATTTTGCTGTTAGTATATAATTAGCAGCAAGTAAATGAAGACTACCTAAATTAGCAATACCAGATGCTATATATCGAGTACTATCAGAAAAACAAATATCTTCATTAGTAAAACTTAATTCTCCTTCATATTGACGAACAAAAGCATCAAGTAAAATAATAAGAGTTTCTGTTGAATTTGTTCTAACTTGAAATGGTTCACGACGAAAATCTTTTGATTTATTAATAATTGTTCTATATCGTGCTAGAATATTAATAAGATTTCTATCAGTACCATCTGTTGGATAAATAATATCTTTTAATGCTCGTTTTTTATCATCTAATTTAAATGACATTGGTATCATTTTTAATGTTGTTATATTATCTCCAATATCAATTTCAATAATTTTCATTTCAATTTCAGAAATAATTGATACTGTTTTTGGTCTATTAATTGATCCTGAATAAACTTGATAAATTTTATCATTGTGTATACCTTTAAGTTTAATTATTCGTGCTTCTATTTTATTAATTCGTGCAATAGTTCGTCTATTCATATCAGGATTACCATTAACATTTTCATAAGTTAAACTTTTTAATTTATTTTCAAGATTATTAATTCGTTTACGAAGTTTATAAACTATTTCTAAATCGTTCATTATCAAAAAAAAACAACAAATTATTGATTATCTTAAATAAACAAAAAAATATTTTTATTTATCAATGAAGGATAAATGAAATAGTCATTAAAATATATAAATCAAAATTGTAACAAAATAAAAAAGTTTCAAAATTGCATTCGTTACTTGCTTCTGGTAAAAGAATGTAAACTAACAAAATGTATGAAAGTGTCAAAATGAAATTAATGTAACTTGAGTGAAGTTTTTATTTCATTGTATGTAGAACAATATAAAAAGAAAACAAATTGAAAGAAGAAGAAGAATATGGTCGCTGGTTGTAACAATTCTCGTTAGAAGTTACAAGCAAATGTTAAACATTTTGTTCGTAATTGTAATACACATCATTCATATGTTTGCAAAACAATGATAGAACAGAAGAATTTCGTTTATTTCATTTGAAATAATTGTTTAAAATTATTTAGTGGGTAGTTACCCCGAAAATCTCTCACCTTATACAAAAGTATTAGCAGACAAGCTCAAATTTTTTAGCGTTCGAACAGTTTACTAACATAAGACCTTTGCTGCAAAAATCCTACAAACATTCAATCAGTATCATAGCTTTTCTTTTTAAATCAAAACCTATCATCTTTTGATCTATAATGACCTATTTGTATTATTTTTCATCATGCTGGAGTATTGACATTTTTGTATAGCGACAAACTATAATTAAAATTCATTTAAATATATATGTGTCAGGCAAAATATAATCAGTTTTTAATAATATATAGACTCAATTGGAAATATCGTGGAGAATTAACTCATAAATAATGCATACAATAAATTGTAAATGATATATAGAATCAATTGCGAACTATTTATGATAATTTTATTAATACTTAACTATAGATATTTTTGGGCGTTCAGTTCAACCACATCCCATAGCATTGAGAACTGGATAAGTATTTTTTTTTGTTGTTTCCAAAATTGAAACTAACCATTGTTGTCGGACATAAAAATTGGAAGTTTGATAGATTTTCTCTCGAATGTTTACAACCTAATAAATAAACTTGCAACACTAAATCGAATTCAACATCAACTGAAATGACTTTGTTTGTTCAATATACGAAGGAACATATCGAGCACGGCTCATTAATAAAGGACTATTGAATTAGCTGAGAACGATCAACAATTGTAGTAATATTGTTTTTACTAAACGTCTATTCATTTCAATCAAGTAGTTTCGATTTGTTCTTTTGTCATTAGAGGCTTGATTGAAGCAATGATTCATTTTCATACGCACACTTTAACCCATGGCTCAGTCAATGGCTGAAATTTCTTGGAGACTTTATATTTAATATGGACAGTGTGTATTGCGGTGTGGGCGTTAGGGTACTGAAAGATCATGATAAATCGTCAATAAATAATTAATTCTCGTAGACTCTCAGAACTTCTTGGTGTTGGGCGATATGCGTTGTTTTCGTTCTTTACATTTGAGGTCGAAGTTTTGCATCTACATGGAATAACGTGCAATCTTAACCAATAGCTAAATTCGCCGTATAATGTAACTCTTGATATGCATGAGTTATAGAATTTTGGGAAGCCATTCTTGTTTAATCCAGAATCTTTTGTGAGGATTCTACCGTGTCTGAATTTTATATGGTTAAAACACGTCGTATTTGGATTGACTTATGATCAACATTATCCTCATCCTTGGAACGTGTAAACAAATATACAATCAAACAAGCAGATGAATTTTATTTTCTATAAGGTGCACACTTCAGTCGAAGGAAATTAATAACCTTAAATTATACATGAAAAAAATGTCTCATTTCTATTTCTGTAAATCATTTTTTCATATTATCTGGTGCAATAACTTTTTCTTCGGCTCTTTCATGTTCATTGATGAATTTTGATACATTTTCAATAAGTGAGATAGTATCGATAACAACAGTACTGATATCTTCGCTTGAACTTTTAAGTTGCCAGAGCCGATAAGAAAAATTTTCGAATTCATTCAGTAGTTGTGTAAGTTGTCCATGATGAGCATGCAAATGCGAAATATCTATTTTACGATCAATGTGAGGAAATAGATGTTCATCTTCGATCGAATGATGACCATGAAGACCTTGACAAAATGATTGAATATCATAAGCCAAACGGTGCAAATCTCTAATGTTTTTGGCTGTCTTGCATTATTGTTGCATAGACAAAAGTGCCTCATGATGGGTATTGTGAAAGTAGAGCATTTTTTTGATAAAACATGGAATATGGATTTTTGGAATTCATTGAGGAACAAGTGAGATTCTAGGACGAAATAAACTTGAAAGCTTAACTATGGTAAGTCTGAAACTTTTCCCGTGCAATATCAAGAAGAGAATCATTTTCTTCAGCTATGTTTGAACTATTTGCTTTTTCTCTAGATTCTTGAACATTAACGGATTGTTTAAAGATATCATTGGAGTTCAAGTGGAGCTTTTTAGATTTCAAATTGAATTGAACAGGAATAGAAAAGTTCTTGCTATGTATCATACGTTATTCTCAGCATAAAACTCGAACTCTGTCCATTTGATCTACATACAATCACTTATTTAACCTGTCAGACTGGACTTAAACTTTACTAAAATTACATAAAAGTATTCTTTCGAGATAATATTGTGTTTTCCTTTAATACTCAACTGCTTCAAGATTATAGGAAAGTTTTGAAAATTACGGGCTGTTTGCTAAGTTAGAACGTTACGCAACTGTGCATCAAATAAAATTATTATGAAGATCAGGATAAGTCAAGAGTATTTTTAGAAAATGTCTATGGGTTTCAGACAATTTTGTGCAAGAATACCCAACTACATTAGTTTCTCTACTTGTTGTTTGTTAATACGATATCATTTAGAAATAAATTAGTAATTTACAATTTATAAAATTTTTAGTAGAATAGTAGTAGAGATGATGTCGAAGAAAAAATTAAGTTGATCGAAGCTCTACTTACCTTTTTTTCCTGTATGTTGTATGCGTGTATGCATATTTTTTAACATTTCTTCTTCTTTTTCACCACCATCCTGCTGTTTTTAATCCACAATTGCCGAACGCAAAACAAGTGAATATTTGCTAAGAAAAAGAGAAAGTGCGCAGCAACGTGTAACAGCCTAGCCTATTTCACAGCAATACGGGGTGATCATAGGTAAAACAAGTATTGATGTTTTAATTCTTCAGCGATCAAATCACTCTTATTAAATATGTCGATCGGAAAATAAATCACTAAAAGCTGTATTGAATGATCCGCTAAAAATATAAACCAATTTTCTTTTCAACAATACCATTATTAATCATCATGAATTTATGATTAGTTCAACTTTTGAAATCATGAAGCATAAATTTTATCTTTTCTATTCACGTTCAGACTCAATTTTAACACATAAACATGAGGGTTTTTTCCATAAAATGAATGTGATATATATCACATTCATATTCTGTTCATTTTAATGTTTTCTTACTTCAAAAAGAAAAAAACAAAATATAAAAGAAGTGGGCTGTTGACATTATCCGATCTATTTTGATTATCTGCCGTCATTTCATTTGAGTATTGTATTAAAATTTCCATCTTGGCTCGGAAATACGACATTGGATTTGTGTTCACAACATCGCTGCAATCAAAATAGTATTTGTATATCGATATTTTCAACAAAAATAATTCTTATTATTGTTCATATAAAAGTAGTTATTACAGCAAGGATTGTAGTATGTATGAACATCAATGCAACACATATTGTTCAACTAATAGACTTTGTCGAGATGATAATGACGAACGAATACTAAATGAAAATAACAATATTTATTGTATTTGTCCATTGGGTCAATTCGGTCGACATTGCCATTTGAAATATAATAAATGCGATTTAAATCTTTGTTGAAACAATGAAATTTGTCTTTCCACTAATGATTTTATTCGAGATGAATCCTATAAGTGTATTTGTTCGAAGAAATTCTATGGTAGTCAATGTCAATTCAAGAAAGCATCTGTTGTTTAGTTGTATAACTTTCATTTTTCAATAAAATTTGTGATCAAACACCAACAAATCTATCATGATTATGCAACACTAATTCTTTACGATTATGATGGCTTTCGTGTGTCTATACTTGGACTTCTGAAAATTTATGAAGATTTAGTAGCACCACAATATTTCATTATGTACATTCAAAATTGAACGACGATTAATATCAGTTCACTTCCACAGCACTGTCTATACGTCTTATCGTTGTGACCTAAAGATAAATCTATAATGAAATGAAATGAAATTTGATTTTTATCTATTGTTATTTTCCAAGATCTATATCTATCTGTTCGGTTCTGTTGTTTTTAAATATCATAACATTTGTAAAACTAATACAAAACTTTTTTGTTTCTGTGATGAAAACTACTTGTGTATCTGTGCAAGTGGTCATTATCGTGTTGGATGTTTGATTCATAATAGTGAACTTGATCATTGTCTGAACTGTTTATATTGATTAGATTTCGTGACAATGATGTTTATGGTCATGTGAATAATGCTGTTCACGATGAGTGAATCGATTCCGTAGTCAACAGTTATTTAACTTTGGAATGTTCTCTTCAAATAGAGAAATACATCATTGACTGGATTAGTTATTTCATCCCAGGGTGTGTGATTGGAAGGAAGACAAACACCAACATCCCAGGTCATGTAATTTTTTTTCTATAAAAACAAGAAAACATTAAAATGACTTCGAGCTTAATTGAGCAGCAAATTGAATTTTTCTAATAGAATGTTTTTTCCCATTGATTAACCTTTTGAGGACCATTGCTCAACCAATGGATGAAATTTCTTTGACACTTTATAATTAATGTGGGCAGTGTGTATTGTTGATATTTTCATCAAAACTTTTAAAAAATCTTTAACGTTCTCCTCGGGCCATACCCAAAATCTCCTACGTGGATGGCGAAGAGGAATTTTGGTCATTCTTATAGGAAGATACGGATGTGGGCCAAAATTTGATAAAGAGCTATCGTAAAATCAATCTTTAGAAGTCACCCCTAACTGGATTTCAACGTGGAAAATCGAAATATTTTAAGAACCGCAAAAGGATATTATGCACACTTCTTCTAGATGGGACGTGTCAAAAACTCATCAGACTTATCATCTTGGTGACTGCATTTGGGTTATAATTCTTATATAGATTTATGCGCAGAAGTCTCTTCCATGTCATACAACAAACTGCATCTTGATATCGTTTTGTGTTCGTGAGTTATTCAAAATTTAACAAACTTTAAAAAGTGTACTTTATAAAGTATGCTGGCCCTCAAAGGATTAATATAAGTAAAAAGAACATGACCATTATTAAATTGAACATCTCTAATAGTATGATTATTATCTTCTTTTTCATACTACGCATGATTATTCAATGCCATTTGGATAAATACTACAATGTGTCTTTTTGTTTTGTTTACATCTGAATATTGTAACAAGTGCAAATCTCGATCATAAGATAATTCTGTTTCTCTTCTGTTTATGAAAGAAAAAAAGACACTTTTGCTTCATGCCGTATTTTTTTAATTGTTTTGGGTGTCAATATTATGGGACAGAATAAGAAGAACGCACTTGTATTGTCTTTATATTCAAAATAGACACAAGTTTTTTAATGTTTCTGCTGAAAAGAAACAATTTGTGATGTTAGTAGATAAAAAATATTAGTTTTACTCTATGCATCACTATATCTAAGCTTTTATTAGAACACTTTTTGAATTTAAGAATATATTATATTTATTGAAAACTCTCTCCAAGAGGCAAGTCTTCTGGCACTTACCCTTAATTCAACTGAACTTTTTTTTTTCATTAAAAGTGCTATTAGTCTTCTTTGTAAATTAAGAAAAAACGCTTATCTAATACTTCTATGAGATTTCTCAGCTAAGAAATACCTATACATTATTCGAAAGAGAGATAATTATGCATTTTTGTCAAATATTCATCAGTAGATTTCGTTTGCATTTAGTCTTTATATTTCATTTCAAATAAAATAAAGAAATACATCAATAAGATATTATAATTATTGAGAAATAAACAGAAAATAGTTTTTGATTGAGGTAAATAAGTTGTTTCATGAAGGAAATATGAAGTTCAGTCTTGCAGTAGTAATCGATAATTCAATCATTGATTAGTAACAATGACCCTCATTGGAATTGTAACACGTAAGGTGGTCACGCGATTTTGTTGTCGTCTTATAGTAATAATATTTTTCAATTGGGGTGTCATAAATATTATTTGTATACTTAATATTGCCATAGCTACTGCGGATCCAACCCACATAATACGATAGGTTAATGGATGCTCAATACCAGTGATGAAGCACATTATCAAAAGAACTGCACCTGGAGTTCCAAGAGCCAACAATAGACCAACATTAATAAAAATTCGTTGAATAGCGGCCAAATCTCGTTGTTGTCGTTGCTTTATCCTCAATGTTTGGTTAAGGGGTTGTTGACGAATAAATATTGTAATACGAAGATATATAAGAGATAAAAGTAAGACAGGTAATCCATAAGCAGTAAGTGTACCCCAAAGAATACCACGAGTTTGTGTGAATGCAGGCAAACAATAATATTCATTAGGTAAATATGTGACATCACGCCATATCATAATAGGACATAAAACAATAAAAGCTACTACTAATTGAACAGGTATTGCGATGACATAAAGCCAGTAAAATTGAAACCATCTATGATTTGAATACACAATACGACAAAGACGATAGAAAGCCTAGAAAATGAAATGAGATAGAATATTATTCACACTTGATATAATATTTATACATGTACTTAAATCAATATCATTTTCGAAGCTTTCGCATTTATGAGAATTATGACAAAATTCTACATTTCGAATAAAGAAAATATATTATTTTCGACGAATAACATGATATTTCTTAATATCAAAAAGCTAGAAAAGTGAAACGGCTTTGCTTCAAGATAGAAAAGCTTTGCATTGGCATAGTCTAAATCAAAACTATTTTATGCTGGCATATACAACATATGTAAGTCATTTTTTGCGGGTGTGGATGTAGATGGAAGACTATCACGTACAGCCACACCTATCCTAATGGATCGGCTTATACCATTAGCATATTGGAGAGTCTAATATTCTAGTTCTGTGACGATTTTATCAGTGGTTCTTCTGGAACCACTCCGAGGAATAAAGGATTAAGCTGATTGACTCAATTTTTAGCCAGGTAAAATACCTCAATTATATATTAAAAACTGATATTACGAATCTAGAAATATTCTAGAGATAGAAATCTTACAGTTATGAGAGTGTTTATAACCATCTGTTGAAATAAATACTTACTTCTCAAGATTATGAATTGCGAGATCACTTGGTTTCTTTGAATAACTAATACAGAAGAAGTTTTTTTTTTGATTTAATTATTTAACTATTTCAAGGAGAGAGTATTTATTTAGACCAAAAATTCGAAGGATTATGGGAATCTACTTTTTTTAGATCGACTGGATTTATATACATGACAGAATTTATTTTATGAAAGCCTATAACACGTCCCAATTGTACTGAAGAAAATCTCAATTTCACAAAATGAACTTGTACATCCATCCTGACCCTTGCTCCCGCTCTGTCTGCTTTTCGATCCTGGATTTGATATTAATATAAAAACGAGAACATGTGTTAGCATTCTTAAAATTCCGAAAAAATCAGACTTGCAAACGATGGTTTGTCTTCTTAAATACCTTGGATAAAGTCTGAAATTTTTTGAATGATCACAAATCGAGAAGACAGATCTTAATAAAATCAATTCTCTTCGAATTTTCAATATCTCATTGAGATCTTTTTGCTGACTAAAAACAGAGTTAATCAGCTTAAACATAGGGAAATGCTTTCTCTGTAGC